TAAAGAAAAACAGAACAAAAGGCCATGCACTAAGGTTGCTCTGGGAACCCAGGCATAAAGTGCCGAGTCGTGGTTCAGTTTTGGGGCTGTAGTGCCATCTAGTGCTTACATCAAACCAAGTGCCGACCTCGCCGGCGCTTGCTCCTCCTGGATCGGTTGGCTCGGTCTGAAGTCCCTCCAAGTCCTGGCCTTTCTAGCTCCTCATGGAAGGGTCTGGGTCCAAAGAGCAGGGCTTACAGGCCACAGGCAAGGGCTGCAGAGGGATGTCGTGCTTGTCCCGGTGGCCCCAGGGAGAGAAGCCCTGGACGGGAGTCACTTCTGAGGACAAGTGACCTTGGCAGAGGGCCTCAGTGTGACCCCAGTGTAAAAATAACCTCTTGTGTGACGTGTGGCGGCTGTGTTCGGCTGCCTGGCCTGAGCAAACAGCCCCTCACACCTGCACACTGTTTACTCGCTGTGGACTCCTAGCTACCTGTTTGCAGGTGCAAGTGACTGTTTGTGTACCCAGGCTGGGGAGGCCCCATCCTCCTGCAGCCCGCATTCCCTTAGAGCTGGGAGCAGGGCCTCGGGCTGAGACCCAGGTGCGGGCCTGGAGGCGACCGTGCTTTAAAACCCTGCCCCAAGACACCCTTACTCCTGAGGACTGGCAGAGAACAACCTGCAGACCAAGATGTTTTATCAGGGACAGAAAATTTAGGGAGCTTAGAGTCGAGACTTTGGGGAGATCGGAGCCAGGCTTTATGTAGGTCATAGGGAATGAGAAGCAGCCCAGCAGTGAGAAGGGCACAAGAGGAATTTGTCCACCTAATCACTGTGGACATGGAAGGGGAGGGACAGGCAGTGAGCAGAGGGGAAGGCCAGGTGCTGCAGCACTCTGCAGAGCGGAAGGTGTTTGCCACTGACCAGCCGCCGTATGTAATTGTTATCATGTGTATCTCTATACCCAGTGGTCCAGGGAAGATGTCACTGAGACGGCAGATCGTGCAGGCACATTACAGTAGGAAAACTATGTGAACTAAGCATCTTTTGCAAGGCATTCTGAAAGTTTCAAGGTTACAATCAGCTGGGTGTAGTGGCACATGCCTGTCATTCCAGGCTAAAGCAGAAAGGCATTCGAAAGAAAGGTTCCTGCTAATGTTGTTTGGACCATTAAATGCCTGTATCTTATATGCTGAGTAACTAATTAAAGATAACAGTGTGCAATGTATTAACCATTGTTACCCCCATTATCTTGTTTTGAAATCTTGTTTTTTTCTGTTTAAAGTTAAAAAAAATAAAAATAAATAAAATAAAGCAGACAGTTCACAAGCTTGAGAACATCGTGAACAACTGGTACACCCTGACTCAAAAAGGATACAAGTGTAGGTCATCGGTACAGTACTCATCTAGCATACCTAAGGCCTGGGTTCAATCCCCAGTGCCGAAAATAGATGAATGAATATATAAGTAATAATCTAGCACCTTTCATCTAAAAATTCTGTTTCTAGGAGACAGTCCTAAGGAATAGCAAAAAATATATAGAATGAGCAGTATCTTCAAACAAAAATTGGTAACTAGATAAAGATTAGTTATGCTATGACTAGGTAAAGATTAGTTATTGAGTGACAGGAGATAAAAGCCCTTGGGCTGAGACTATGACACCATGAGTTTAGGGGTGGGCGGGAGATGTGGCCTAGGATGGCCTAGGTTCAATCCCCAGTACACAGGAAACTTTTTTCCAAATGTGGGAAAATGTTTTGGTACAAAGGGAATGAAAAAGACAGGCTCAGAATTATGTCATTAGGTTTGTATTTCTCTAAGGGCTAGTGTATTCATATTTCATGTATTTATTTTTTGGCTCTTTGTGTGTCTTCCGACAAGTATCTGTTCATTTTGTTTGTACCTTTCGTAACTGGGGAAAGGTTCAGGTAGTTCCCCAAATTACCTGTTCCATTGTTTATATTTTAACATATGTGCTAGTTTGTTCCATTTGTACTGCTAGTTTATCTTACTGAAAAGAAAGTTTTGTACCATTATCTGTTTATTTGGAGCCAGGGAGATGGCTCAGTGGAATAAGCACTTCCCTGGCAAGCGCAAGGGTCTGAGTTCAATCCCCAGTTCCGCAAAAAAAAAGAAAAGAAAAAGAAAAAAAAATCTGTTTATTCTTTGTAAGAGACTCTTTTGTTAATGTTTTATACTCTACTTTGCAGCTAGAGATAGTTATTAACTATTGTCATTCTCTTATTATTTTGTTACAATTTTTTCATTAAATAAAAAAAGAAAAATTGGCTGGCCGTGATGGCGCATACCTGTAACCCCAACACTTGGGAGGCTAAGGCAGGTTGAGCGCTACAAGTTTGAGGCCAGCCTGGGCTCCATACAAAGTGAGTTCAGAGCCAGCTGACCTGCACAGTGAGAACCTGTCTCAAAACGACAAAAAAAAAAAAAAAAAGTAAAAATTGCAGTTTGACCCCAGCTAGACAAGCATGTATGTAACACATGAAGCTGACTGGTCAGGGTGACTTTGGGACTGGGGCAGCCTGTGGACTGTGACTGCACGACAAGATCTAGACTGAAACCCAGACGTCGCCGTAGCCACCGGTTGGCGACTCCCTTTCTTCTCGGGAGCCCTGCTGTGTCATCGATGCCCAGGCGTTGAGCCAAGGCGAGGTAGTAATCCTCTGCGTCCTTTCGCCTCTCTTCCCCACCCAGTAGATATGTTTGATGACTTCTCAGAGGGCAGGGAGTGTGTCAACTGCGGGGCCATGTCCACGCCACTGTGGAGGCGCGACGGGACGGGACACTACCTATGCAATGCCTGCGGCCTCTACCACAAGATGAACGGCATCAACCGGCCCCTCATCAAGCCCCAGCGCAGGCTGGTAAGCAGAGCCCCGGGGCCGCTGCTCCCGGGGTGGGTGAGGGCTCCGCGCGTGGGACGGGAGCAGGGTGGTGAGGCCACACGTAGTCCCCGAGCTCCCAGGAAGGGCCAGGCCAGCTAGTGCACCGGGCCGCTGTCCAGCCACACTGGGGCTCCCGGAAAGCATGTCCCCGCCGGAATCACAGACTGGTCTCCTGGGAGCCTGGCTGCAAGCTGTCTGGGTCCAGGCTGGGAGTCAGCCAGCCCAGAGGACATCTCCTTTTACCTGGGCAGTTACTAAAGCCCAAAGCCCAGGAAGGGTCAGCAGCTGGCACAGCCTGTGGCGCTCAAGGGACTTGGGGAGGAGTGGCCGCCTTCCTGCGTACCCAGAAGGGATATTTCCTGTGTTGCAGTCCGCCTCCCGCCGAGTGGGCCTGTCCTGTGCCAACTGCCAGACGACCACCACCACGCTGTGGCGCCGCAACGCCGAGGGGGAGCCCGTGTGCAACGCCTGCGGCCTCTACATGAAGCTCCACGGGGTGAGTGGACGGACGCCCCGCCCTGCCAAGCCACGCCCACAAGCCAGAGCCCCCCCCAAGCCACGCCCCCGCTGCACCCTGACCACGCCCAGGGCGCCCAGCCCCTGGAGGATCACAGGGCTCTTGCTAAATTCTCCCTATCTTCGCTACGTCCTTACTTCCTTCCCGTTTCAAGGGAATTGTAGTGATTTTGCTAGCCTCACCTATCTCAGATTTGAATTCCCGCCTTGCAGAGTAGGGGAATACGTATATAGCATATGGCATCATGCGGTATAGCCAAAGTGACATTTTGATTCCGCGCATAAAGTAAGTTTAAGAATAAACGCGTGTGGGGGGGGGTGCCCATTAGCTCAGTTGTTTAAGTGCCTGCTTAAACAAAGCAGTGAGGCTCAGGATGCTGTGGTTCGATGCCCAGATCCTCAAGCCAAACCAGACCTATCCTGAGGCCACCAAAAAAAAAAAAAAAGAAGAAGAAGAATAAACACAGCTGAGTGTGGTGGCTCATGCTTGTAATCCCAGCACTTGGGAGGAGACTGGGCAGGAGGATTATTTTGAGTTTGAGGCCAGCCTGAACTACCTATTGAGACTCTGTTTCAAAAACAAACAAAGAGGGCTGGTGAGATGGCTCAGTGGTCTAAAGCACCTACTTAGAACAAGCTTAGCAAAGCACAGGGACTGCGGTTCAATCCCCAGCACCACACGCCAGCCAGCCCCGCCCCCTGGTGGCCTAGCTGGCCACACACACATAAATAAATAAAATTTAAAAAAAGAAAAACAACTGTATAGACAGAATTGTCTATGCATCTAGAAAACAGCCAAGCCATGACTTCTACAGCTGCCGTAAACAAAAGTAAATTTAGGTGATTGAAAGATCTTACCTAAAAAAAAATCTTTGAAATAGAATGAAAATTTAGGCAATAAAATACCGCAATAGAGATGCCAGGCAGTACAATACTACAATGAAAACAGTAGACAGTAAAACACAATAAAAGTACAAGCCAGTAAAACTATAGAAGCATAAGATGGAGTATTTATATAGCTGTGGACTTGGGAGAAGAACCTCTTAAGCAAATTTTAAAACTCTTAAGCCACATGAAAAAAGTTAGACGTGCTGAATTTAATGCTGGTGTATGGCAAGTGATGCCTCAAGAAAGTAAAAATCCCTGTACAGTCACTGGAAGAGGGGCCAGCCTTTCCATAATGTAAGGAGTGTGTGCAAAGCCCGAGTTGTGGCTCAGAATGGTCGCTATCCTAGAGCTGTTTTTGAAGGGTAGAGTACAGACCACTGTGCAGAGGGGAACAAGAAGAACAAGAGTGTTGTGCCGCTGCTTATACCTACTTAGAACACCTCAGGGAGGCTGCATAAGAGGCTGTTGGCACAAAATGCCCCTAGGGTAAGGAATGGGAGTGGCTGCGGGCGCTCTCCCTGCTAAACATTGCCCCACATGCCCGAAGCCCTGGGTTGGATCCCCAATACCACCAGGAAAAAGAAAGGTGTTGGAGCAAGGCCTCAAGGGGCTTTTGTCACTCTGTAATTCCTTATACCTTTTAAACTGCCTAGATCATATCTTACTTGTTCAGATGTAAGTTAAAAGCAAGAAAGCAAAGCAAAAGCAGAAAGATCCTGTGACCTCAGAAAATGACAATGTTCCTCTCCCAGCTTCACCAAATGGGCACAAGACAGAACTCAGAGACGCCTTGCAGCCAGCCAGCCAGCCAGCCAGCCAGCCAGCCAGCAGGTGCGGGTGTGCTGGCCTCGCTGGGCACAGGAAATGCAAAAGCAGCAGCCTCGAGAGGCCTTACGGTGCATTTATGTTTGGCAAAAATTAAAACAAGTCCTAAGATCTAGTGCCACTTTGGATTTTGGGAAATGGATCCTGTTCCCTACTACTGATTTGTGTGTTAGTTACTGCACGTGTGCTTTTGGGGAATTAATCTAGCCACGCGTTAGGGTTAAAAGCGCACCTGCCTTTAGGTGGCAAAGGCAGACTGGCTTCAAGCCGGCCAGTGCAGGGCAGACCTTAGCCGTTCATTGCTTCAGTGTTTGTCTTGCCACAACCCAGAAACAGTGTTAAATCCTGAAACCACATGGTCAGATAAAGTATGGTGACCTCATAATGTGCAGTGTTGGGCAGAAATTTTAAAATGATAATTTCAAAGCATTTCAGATTTTGGATTTTCAGATTAGGAATGTTTACCACCATTTGTGGGCAGGAACTTTTTTTTTTATTTCAGTACCTAGTGGGGATTGAACTTAGGACCTTTGCACTAAGCTGTATCACCAAAACTTGTTTTGTGGTTTTTTTGGTGGTTGTTGTTTTGTGCTTTGAGACAGTTTTGTTATTTATTTATTTATTTATTTATTTCTGTACCAGGAATTGAATGCAGGATCTTGTACTTGCCAGGCAGGTGCTGTGCCACTAAGCAGTATCTCCAGCCCTAAAATAATAATTTAAAGTCATAGATGTTAACCTGGAAAAAGGAAAAGCAAATTACAAAATATCATCTATAGTTTGACCCTCTGCTGGAAGCCTGGGGTGTATTAGATGGACACATGAATAGAGATGGGTGGACACATGCACACCTACACACATAGATATGTATGTGCACCTGCATGCGAGAATTTTAAAAACGTAAAAGACATAACAGACTGTTATATCCATTTGCCTCATAGTGACAGGATTAATGGCAGGAATTATCAATTTTATCTCATGGTTACAAAATATTCATAAGAAAATACACTTATTGGGCTGGTGAGATAGCTCAGTGGTCTAAAGCACCTACTTAGAACAAGCTTAGCAAAGCACAGGGACCACGGTTCAATCCCCCAGCACCACATGCCAGCCAGCCCCGCCCCCTGGTGGGCTGAGTTGGCCACACACACACACACACACACACACACACAAATAGATAAATTAAGAAAAGAAAAGAAAATACACTTATTAAGCTGTGCTGGCCCCATCCCCAGGGCACACTGAGACTGGGCATTGTGGCGCATACCTGTAATCCTAGTGCTTGGGAGGCTGAAAATAGGAGAATCACTACGAGTCCAATCTACCTAGTGAGACTCTGTAGACCCTGTACCAAATACATAAGAAAAAGAAAAAAGAAAATACACATATTTCTGCAAGGAAGTGTATACAAGGATGTTTGTTGACTGGCTGTAGTAATGAAAATGGAGGGGGAAAAGCCCTTATGAAGCTATAAAGAACTATGGTTCTTTAGCAGGGGAATAAATTCCAAAAGAAGTTCAAGGGACCATATTATGAACTATGCTGGTCAGGTGTGGTGGCACATGCCTATAATTCCAACACTTGGGAGGTTGAGGCAGGAGAATTGCCTGAATTTGAGGCCATTCTGGGCTACACAAGCAAGTTCAAGGCCTGCCTGAACTATACAGCAAGATTCTGCCTCAAAAAGAAATACTATGTCCTCAAAAATCTGAAGTACAATTACCATATGATCCAGCAACCCTACTTCTGGGCCTCTATAAAAAAATTTCAGGCTGGGTCTGAAGAGACATTTGCATATTTGTTGCATCAGCTTCCCGTGACTAACAGGAGATATCTGAGGCCATGGCTATAATGAAAGGAAAAGTTTCTTTTTTAAAATATTTATTTGGTACAGGGTCTCACTACGCAGCTTGAACTCATAGTGATCCTCCTATCTCAGCCTCCCCAGCACTGGGATTACACAATGCCCAGTTTTTGGGTCGGCACAGTGTGCCCGGGGTTCCAGGGCTGGCACAGCATGCAGTACTGGTGATTAAACCTGGGTCCTTGTGCTTGCCAGGCAGGTACGTAGCCTACTGAGCTATCTCCCTAGTCCTAGGAAAGTGTCTGTAGCTCATGACTATGGAGGTCCAAGATGAAGGTCAGATGACCCTGCCAGTTTGGCCTCTGGTGGCCCCTGGTGAGGACAGTGCATCTTGGCAAGTGTTGGGGTGTGAGAGCTCACAGTACAACCAGGACGTGGAGCCTGGAGGCTGCAGTCCCCTTGGAGGTCACATGGCCCAGTGGTGGCTGCCCGCAGGAACCAGCCCCAGCCCCCATCTCTGAGCAGGGGCCCTTGTGTCTCTACCCCCTGCCCCACTGCAAACGCTCCTGCTGGCCTTGCCGTTTGCACAGTGCCTGGTGTGCTGCAAGTCTGCTTTTGCACCTCCTGTTGCTACAGCCGAGACTGCCTGGCCCTTGCCTAAGCAGCAGCCTCCTCCAGGAAGCCTTGCTTGATAGCCCTGCGTTGTCTCCTCCCCATGCCAGGAAAGTTTACTGCTTCCTCTGTTTGCGTGTTCCACCAACAGGCTCCTTTCTGTGTGTCCGACTTTCCCACCAAACTGAACTCTGAGCAGGAAGGAACAGTGCCTTCCACTTGCTACCTCTGTCCTGCCAGGGTCCACTAAAGTACGTACCCTACAACAGAGGTGCCTGGTTTTATTTTCTAACTACACTGAAGATTGACCCTGGTGCCTCCTGCATGCTGGGCAGGTGCCGGGCCACTGTGAGTGGGCCCCAGCGTCACACCCCTAGCTTTGCAGAGGGTCTCATAGGTCCTCCCTGCAGTGCGTGTGCCTGTCTCAATCTGCAGCAGATATACACAAAAGCACATGTGTTGACTTGTGATTCTCCAGGTCCCCAGGCCTCTTGCCATGCGGAAAGAGGGGATTCAAACCAGAAAACGGAAGCCCAAGAACCTGAATAAATCAAAGACACCAGCAGGTGAGCAGAAGAGCTGTGTTCGCACAGAGGAGCAGGTCAAGCCCTGCAGGGGTGAAGGTGGTGACTTCATCGTCCTTGGGGACAGAATGAATAGCTCCCAGAGGTGACATCACATGGGACCTAGCAGCCTGCGTTGATTGTTGCCCATTTTGTGAGCTGGCTGGGGCCGACAGAGGCCTACAGGACAGGGAAGCATGGCTCACACTACACTCCCTCCACTAGTTCTCTTTCAAAAACAGAGTCCTAGGCTGGGGAGATAGCTCAGAGATCTAAGCACCTGCCTGGCAAGTGCAAGGGCCTGGGTTCAATCCCCAGTACTGAATGATGTGCTGCTGTGCCAGCCTTGGAAACCAGGTGTGGTGGTGCTCACCTGTGGTCCCAGTGCTGGCGAGGCTGAGACAGAAGGATCATGACATGTCAGTACCAAATAAATACATTTTTAAAAAGATTTTTTTAAAAAAGAAGAAGAACAGAGTTTCATTAGGCAGGCCCTCAAGAGATTGATCTGTAGCCAAGCAGCACTTTGTACTTTAAAAATCTTTGTAAATACTGGATCCATGATTCGTAAAAAACCCAAGAGAAATGGTGAATTAGATTGGGGGTTCAAACCCAAGTTCTTACACCAGTACATCTCTCTGCCTTCTTCCTTCTTAGATTAAGAAGAGGGTTAGTGAGATCCCCTGCCAGAGTATTCCCTACGCTGC